ATAGAGAGTATCTGGGATGAATTCCGAAGTTAATTTGTAGAATTCAGCACTAAGTCTGTCGGATCCAGGAGCTTTAGCCGAGGGTAGGTGTTTGATAGTGGCACAAATGTCATCTTGTGTAATGGGAGCATTTAAGGCGGGTAGCTTCGGAAGATTAACAGAGGCTAGAAAATCCTTGGCAGCTCTAGAATCAATCGGGTCCTCAGAATACAAGGAAGTAGAATAGGATGTAAGAAGGTCATAATAGCTGACATCGTTACGACATTGCCCGCGGGTGACCAGAGCACAAAGATATAAGCGGGAGAATGAGGGCCCGCACCAAGACATGCCAACAGCTTTCCCGCCATATTGCCATATCTATAACATTTTAAATTGGAAAAGACCAATTTGGCTGCTTCCTGGTGTTCAACCCAGTAATCAAAGGCTCATTTGGCAGATTGCCAAATCTGCCTATTCTCGTGGCGTGCGATTGAGGGAGAGAGCAATATGTGTCTGACGAAGAGATTCGCTCGCCTGTTGGTAAAGCAGTTGGGACCTGTTCTTAAATTTCGTGGTATAGGAGATTATGCACCCTCTAAGGAACGCCAAGATTGCTTTCTAATTGCTGATAGACTTGGCTTTCCGTGCCTTTTTTTTTTGCAACTCCCTTTGGTCATGTGTTCAATACTTTTTCCCTGTGTCATTCCATTTTATTACACATAGCCTATTTTCTGAACTTATTTGTGTTGGTTTCTTTGTATGCATGGATTGCATGGGTTGTTACCGACATGTGGTGAAAATTTCATGTCAGTAGTCTTTACATATATTTACTGAGAAAAATGGTGAAGTGTTCAATACTTATTTTACCCACTGTATATATGTAGAAAAGCCGACAACTCGCAGTGCGCCGGACCAGCGGCCTGCTCCTCCGCCCGAGCCAGCCTAAGATGTAATGGAGAGATGGAAACTGTAAAATGTAAAGCATCCTGGAGGGAGGAGTAAGGAGGCAGGGGAGAGTAGTATCATGATACTGACTGCCAGTGCTCTGAGCTCAGCCGATCAGAAATCGGTTGATATGGGTAATTCTGCTGGGGAGGAGGGGAGGCTTAGGATCAGACCCTCCTTAGTTTTTTATTATCTTTACAATCTCATTGTAAAAGGGAAAGAGACAGAGGACATTCCCCAGTCACTTTCTCTGTAGCCTCAGTTGCACTGCACCATCCACTACCTCCGCACTCCATCCTGACACATCCCCCACAGCAGGCGGTGAGAGAGGAGGAAAGCCGGTAGTGCTGCGGGGGGACCACAGGGAGCACGCAGTAGGCCAGCAAGCAGGAAGAATCCCATGGATAGTTGGGGGGGGTGATCAGTGTGGTGGTGGGAGGCAGGAGCAATTACAAGCACCGATTCAACCTGTATAACTTTCCAGAAAGCCATTCAGGGAGATGCTTGTAATTCCCCCCCCCCCCTGCAACAATCACTCCTGTCGAATTCCCCCTGCTGCAGAAGATACAAGGAGACTCCATTGGGGTCACCCTACTGGCCTCGGGCCCTCGGGCACTACTTCAATAGTCAGCCAAATCCCCCTCCCCGGTTGGGCCTATATTAAGGAAGGGAGCTGCAGTTTCAATACCACTCCCGTTAATCTGGCCCTGCCAATGACATTAAATGCCTAGCTTTCAACCTCAGAAACATTTATGAAGGTGTCCCAGAGTAAACTCTAGGTCAGTGACTGAATATTAAGCATTAAAGCCAGGGGGTCACCATAATATTCAATCAAATAATCATATCAATTATGTACTGGAGCTATGAAAATGCTTGATAGCATTTTTAACATTCTTTAATGGCAACATGATAATTCAGTAAGATCTTGCTGAAGGAAATTCAACAAACTGTTAACAGAAGAATAAAAATATGAATGCTTGGATTTTTTTTCTAAGGTTTGTAATCTTTGTAAATGGTACATAGTGAACATATGTGTTCTAATTCAGTTTCGAGTATCCTTTTTGATCAAACAAAATTCATGGGACATGCTAAAACAGTCCCTTTAATAAAAGGCTAGCAGGCAGAAAATGCACTAACTATGCACACAGAAACTAAAAAAAATACACAGACAAGGAAGGTAACAACTGGGAAAACAGACAATCATGTGGCCGCAAACCTTACAAAAAAAAAAAAAAAAAAAAAAAAGGACTGCTGAGATTTTTTTTTTACTCATTTCAGACTGAATCTTTCCTTTATTAACCATATAAGAGCTGGGTCACACTAGAGCACTGCAGTGTAGTAAAATTGCAAACGCTATGTATAGAAGTATATGAAGCACAGTGCTGCGTGTTGTATTGCTGAATCATTTTTTTTGTTCAACCCGATTCCCCCCTTCACACATTCAAAGTGGATTGGGAAATAGTTCCTGTAGAGTTATTGTATATTGACAGTGGGGAGACTTGTTATAGCCAGCGGCACTGATCGTTTGGGAAAAAACAGTAGATCGACTTGTGTACAACCAGTCTGCTCATACATGGATCAAAATTCAGCCGGCCCTGCTGAACCAGCCAATTTTTTGATGCGTGTATGGCTGCCTGTAGAGATATATATATATATATAGATATATATATACACACACACACACACACACACACACACACTTGTATGCTAAACGAATAAAAAGGACAGAGGTATAGGTCCACGTAAACGTCAATTATATTTAATATTTCAGCTTACCTGTCCTTATGCTAAAAACATTTTCAGCAAGTACAGAAAATACCTGTTGATCTTGCCAGAAATGCAGTGTCCTGATTATTTCCTATGAGGAGAAAAGAAATTACAAACATCCTTTATTTTTTTTGTGTAAACTATTAGTCCCATCAATCCACCATGTACTGGAGATGAACAAAGGTAGACATGTTTGAAGTCCTGAGTGACAGCTATGGCTTCTCCCATACACCTGTATAAAGTGAAGGAGAAAAAAAAAAAAAAAAAAAAAAAAACGTAGACATGAAGATAAAAGAAGTGTGTTATTTGCAAGGTCACCAGATGAAAAGAATAAAGACTGAAAATGGAAAACTAATTCAGCTACCACATCTAAGCCCCTAAGGGCTGCAATATATAATATTTTGTTTTTAGATTTAGTTAGGATTTATAGGATCAGCCTGCCCAAAACTGATATTTTTGAAAGATGCTGTCAAGTTAAGCCACCTGACACCATTCAGCATATTTCTCCGGGATTCTACTGATAAGATCTCATTTTTTTTTTTTATTCCTAAGTGTGCACAGCCTTCTAGGTCAGTTTCTGGAGCTACTACTCTTCTTGATAAATATTTCCATTTATTTTATGATGGACAATGAAACAAGAGGAATTGGAACACTCAAAACTCCAATGTAGGAAAACAAAGCCAAGACCACAGCAGGGAGGGCTCAGAGGTCCCTATGTAACTTGTTTAGCTATGCTGCTTTAGACGAGTTCTCAATAACTGTTATTTTTACCTACAAAAATAATATTTACACTCCCCTTTTATTACTCAAGTACTGTTGTACCTCTTTCTCTGCACACTCCGTGGCTCAAGAGATGGGCTCAACCCTAGGCTACTGTGCTAACTTCAAAGACTGTAGAGCCTAGCATGGCTGGTATAAGCTCTTCAACCAAAAGTAAACAGAAGAAACTTGGATTTCTTCTGTCTGCTTAAGCCAGCCATACATGGATCGAATATCGGCAGTTTCAGCAGGGACCGCCAAATTTTGATCCATGTACCGTATGAGCACCCATCGTCTTCTCTACTGGTTGAGCGAAAAAAAAAAAAAAAAACTGTATAATGTATGGGTTGCCTTCGACTGCAGGTCTTTTCAATCTCATTTTTAACTCCTTCTCACCCGGCCTATTGTACGATGACAGCTGAGCGGGAAAAGCCATTATCCTGGGAGGACATCATATGTGTAAGCTCCAAGGAGCAGGGCCCTCAAATCCCTCTTGTATTGAACTGTATTGTTGCTGTATTGTCTCCCTTTATATTGTAAAGCGCTGAGCAAACTGTTGGCGCTATATAAATCCTGTAGAATAATAATAATAATATGACGTCCTCCCAAGATTAGGCCATGCTCCGGTGCAATCTGTCACCGGCTGTGTCCAACAAATCACTACACCGGGCCACTGCTATGGTCATGTGATCTCTGTGACCAATCCAGCAGATCACGACAGTTGTAAACAATGAATGGCTTCCTTACATACCATTCACTGCTTACAACTGTGCTGCGAGTGGTGGTTGGTCACAACGATCACATGTACAGACTGGGCCAATCACTGCCCATCTGTAGCATGTGATCAGCTATGGCCAATCACAGCTGATCACAACAAAAACCACTGAATGAATCATTTTCAGTTAGTAAAAATGCTTGTTTATAATGTCATTTGTTGGTATAAGCAATCATACCATTAACAAAAATTAAAAAAAATTTAATAAAATGTAAAAAATTTTTTAAAAAACTTTTTTTTTTTATATACTGTCGCCAGTCAGTGTCCCTGATCACTGTCACGCCAGTTATCTGATGACACTGTACTGCATTCATGACAGTATGTAAGAACAGAACAAAAAAAAAAAAAAAAATTTTGTTTTCTATTTCTTAACCACTAGCCTACAGAGCACTTATACCCCCTTCCTGCCCAGGCCAATTTCCAGCGCTATCTCACTTTGAATGACAATTGCGCGGTCATGCAACACTGTACCCATATGAAATTTTTATAATTTTTTTGTGACAGATAGAGCTTTATTTTGGTGGTATTTAATCACCTCTGGGTTTTTTATTTTTTCTTAAACAAACCAAAAACCACTGAAAATTTTGAAAAAAAAAAAAAAAAGTTTCTTAGTTTGTTATAAAATTTTGTAAAGAAGTGATTTTTCTCCTTCACTGATGTGCGCTAATGAGGCGGCACTGATAGGTGGCACTGATGAGGAGGTACTGGTAGGTGGCACTGATGGGCATTGACAGGCATCACTGATGGGCACTGAAAGGCAACACTGATACATGGCACTGAAATATGGCACTGATAGGCGGCACTGACTGGCACTGTTAGGCGGCACTGACTGGCACTGATAGGCGGCACTGAAAGGCAGCTCAGATGGGCACTGGCACGTGGCACTGATGAGCAATGACAGGTGGCACTGCTGGGGCTGACTGATTGGACACAGCTGATTACATGACCGAGCCGACATGTTCGGCTCTTTTCGTGATCGGTGATCCGCTGTGTCCGAGGGACACAGCGCACCTCCGATCGCCTGCACAGTGAGAATGGGAGGACGTCATATGACGTCCTCCCAGAACGAGGAAACCACCTTGCGCCCGTCATATTACTATAATTTTCCACAAAATGACAAAAAAGGCAACTTAAAAAAAATGCATCTAAGTACCTCAGACAGTCTACTTTCCGAAAAGCGGTAATTTTGGGGGTATTTGTACTGTACTGGTGTGCTTGAGCCCAGGGGTGGACTGACCATTTGGAAACTTGGGCACTGCTCGAGGGCCCGGGATCAGTAGGGGCCCCATGAGATGCCTCTGGTACCTTTTTCATAGGCTTTTTTGAGTTTGGGCAAGGACACAGGGGCCCCATAAGTTGTCAGTCCGCTCCTGCTTGAGCCTCAAGAAGGGAGATCAGCAGTCAGTACATCAGGATTTATCAATTTTTAGATACCGGTATATACCATAGTTTGTGGACTTTCCTACCAACTAAATAATAAACACTGATTTGTGTTATATTCACTAAAGACATGTAACAGAATACATTTTGGCCTAAATTTGTGTAGGAAGATTATTTATTTGCAGAAATAAAGAACACACATTTTTCTCAAACTTTTTGGACTTTTTTGTTCATAGCGCAAAAAATTAAAAACACAGTGGTGATTTTTTTTTTTTTTTTTTTTTTTACACAAATATTTATTAAATTTTTCCAATTCATATACAAAACATTTCAACATTTCTATTAAAATAATTATCCCAAATGTTTTCTCTTCTTACATAAATTATCCCTGTATATGACATGCTTTCCTTGCCCTCCCCCCCCCCCCTCCACCCCCCCATCTCCTCCAACCCCTCCCACGCTCAACATTCTTTTTACTCTCATTAACTCCATATTCTGTTGTTTCTAAATCTCAGTTCTAAGCCAGCTTCCAGGAATATTATCTCTTCATATATTTCACCTTTTCTCTGTATTCTTCCCAGCCTTTCCATTTTTTATTATATAACTCCAGCTTGTCCTCGTGCATGTAATACAATCTTTCTGTCCCTGAGATCTGATTTACTCTAGCCATCCAATCCTCCTCAGTTGGCACCTCTCTTTTCTTCCAGAACCTGGGTATCAGACTCTTCGCTGCGGTCAAGTAATGCCATATCCCAGAACTCTTATATGTTTTCACTGAGAGTTCTGAGATATGGAGGAGACATACTTCTGGATCTAATCCTATATTGATTTTTGTGATTTTCCCTATCAAATAAACTATCCTCCGCCAAAACACCTGTATTTCTGAACACTCCCACCACACGATACCACGTGCCCACCTCTCCACAACCTCTCCAACACATCTGTGAGATTTCCGTATTCATCTTGTGCTCCAGATAGGGGGTAATGTACCATCTATTCAAACACTTATAGTTTATTTCCACTTCTCTCATACTAATATTTTCGTGAATTAATGTGAACATCTTCTTCTTCTCCGCCTCCTCTATTTTTCTTCCCATATCTCTTTCCCATTTCTCTATGTGCATTAGTTTTGTGTCTATATCAAGTTCCATTAATATCTTGTGTATTTTTGCCGTACCGTGTCTACCATTTCCCCGTGACTCAAAGATTCTCTCAAATGGATTCCAGTCTTTTCTAGTTCTTATTGGTTTTGGAAGGCTTTCAAAGAAATTCTTCAGTTGGTAATATCTTAGTCTATCCATCTTATTAAAGACTTCACCCTTTCTTTCCTCCATATCCTTATATGACCCCATTTCCTCTCCTACCATTATATCTCTCAATTGCGCCTCCCGTTTTATTATCCATTTCCCTGCTATACTATCTTTTCCCGGGATGAAATATTTTGTGTTCCTAAGAGGCATTAGTTGTGAATTAAAAACCCACCCACCCCTTTTGTCTGTGTAATAAATCCCATTCTTTTAAAACATTAAGAGTGTACGTGCTTGTGCTCTCCTCTAATTCTCTATATTGTGCAGGGACCCAGATACTATTACTCAAACTTTTTCCACTCAGTGCTTTCTCAATTTTAACCCAAGTTTTCTCCGGATTATGAATCCAGTCGAAAATTCTTGCAATAATCCCTGCTTTGTAATATCTCCTAAAATCTGGTACCACCCCAATCCTCCTCTTTCTTTGCTTCTGGTCAGCGTTTCATAACCTATTCTAGGCTTTTTATTCCTCCATATGCATTTTATTATCATTTTCCTCAGTTCTTTAAAATATGCCTCTGGGAGTTTGATTGGGATCATTTGAAATTTACATAATACTTTGGGGACTATTACCATCTTTAGCAAGTTTATGCGACCTATCCACGATGGATTTCCATTTCCCACTCTTCTCAACTCCTCCTTAATTTCATTTAATAGCGTTATATAATTGGCTTTATAAAGGTTCTTATTTGAGGCTGATAGTTTTATTCCTAGATATTTTAATTCTTTATCTCTCCAAAGGAAAGGGAATTCCTCTTGTAGTTTTTCTTTTTCACTATTTTTGAGATTTATGTTTAAGATTTCAGTCTTTGTCGGGTTAATTTTTAGGTTTGACAGGTCTCCGTACTCCCTCAATGCTTTCATTAAATTTGGAAGTGATGTTCTAGGGTTTCCTACATAAAACATCAGATCGTCCGCATAAGCCACTACCTTTTGTTCTCTATCACCTATCTTTATTCCTTTTATGTCTATATTCCTCCTAATCATGGACAGCAAGGGCTCCAGTGATAACACATATAGCAAGCAATGGAGACAATGGGCATCCCTGTCTTGTACCATTTGACATCTTAAAGTACTCTGATCTTCCTCCATTTACCATTATGGTAGCGGTAGGCCCTCTGTACAACTCACTAATCCACCCTCTCATTCTATCTCCCATTCCTAATGCTTCCATTCCAGTATCCATCATAAAACCCCAACTCACTCTGTCGAATGCCTTCTCAGCGTCTATCGACATCAGTATCATTGGGGTTTTCCCTTTTTTGCCCTCCTGTATAAGCAACAATGATCTCAAAGCATTATCTCTACCCTCTCTTCCCGAGACAAACCCCACCTGATCTCCATGTATCCACTCAGGCATCAGCTCTTTCAGTCAATTTGCCAGAACCTTTGCATATATTTTAGTGTCTACATTCAGCAGCGCTATTGGGCGGTAACTCGCACATTGCGAGGGGTCTTTATCCTCCTTCTGTATTAATACTATATTCGCCTGTAAAGACTCTCCCCTCATCTCCATCCCATTCCCCAAGGCATTCATATAGGTCTTCATTTTAGGTATTAAAAGCTCTTTATATTTTTTATAGTATTTGGCCGTATATCCATCCGGACCTGGGCTTTTCCCTCCCGCCATGCTTTCTAATGCTATTTTTATTTCCTCTGAAGTTATTTCTGCCTCTAAAGAGTTCAGTTGTGTTTCTCTAATTTTCGGTAGGCCTGCCTGCCTCCTCTAGATATTTCTTTCTTTCCCCTCTATTTACTGTTTCGATTTTCTTAAACGTATCCTGGGGTATAATATTATACAGCTCATTATAATATTCTTTAAATGTTTCTAGCAATATCCTTGGTTGAATGTACAAATTCCCCCTTGGGATTTCTTATTTTCTCTATATAATTTCTATTTTTCTTTTTTCTTAAAGTTCTCATTAAATACTTTCCCGGCCTGTCTCCCCATCTATATCTTTCACTTGTTATTTTATTAAAGATTCTTCTTTTTTCCTCCTCTATTACATTCTCTAATTCTTCTTTATTAACATCTGCATTATCTCCTTAGATCTTTCCCTTTTATGCATTTGTTCAAGATCATATATTTCATTTAATAATCTATTTATCTTTTCTCTTCTTTCTTTTTTCTTTTTTGCTCCCATTGCAATGAGTAGACCTCTGATATAAACTTTATGAGCTTCCCATACCGTTGCAACCGAGACACCCTCTGTTTCATTCTCTCCAAAAAACCATTCAATTTCCCTCTCAATTCTTTGACCAATCTCTTCCTCCATGAGAAGTGCCTCATTCAACCGCCATACATAACCTTCTCTCCTTTCTCTACCCCATCTCAACTTCATTGCGACTGGCACGTGATCTGACAGGGTACTTCCTTCAATTTTTACTTCTACTACCAGCTCTATCATTCGATGTTCTACTCATATATAATCTAGTCTAGAATAAGTCTCATGAACGTGCGAAAAGAAAGTATAATCTCTCTCCTTCATATTCCTAATTCTCCAGATGTCTACCAGCTGACACTCATGCATCAATTTCTTTAACATTCTCAAAGATTTGCTTTCCTCCCTTCTCACAGAGGAAGTGGTGTCCATACAGATGTTTAGGTCGCCCGCTACTATCATGCATCCACTTTTAAAATCCATCAATCTCCTCAACACTTCTCTCATAAACCTCTCCGGCTTCTTATTTGGGCTGTATATGTTTGCTATTGTACACTCAATTCCCTGTAATTTACCTCTCAAAAACAAAAACCTTCCCTCCAGATCTGTTAATCTCTCCTCCAACTCAAACCTTATATTCTTTGCGAATCCTATAGCAACTCCTTTTGCTCTTTTAGTTGGTGAATCCGCATAGAACCATGTTGGAAAATATCTAGTCCTCAGTCTAACCTTCGACTCCATCTCTAGATGTGTTTCCTGCAGGAATACCACTGAGGATTTTCTATGTTGGAGTTCTTTAAATAACCTGAATCTCTTTCCTGGACAACTTAACCCTTTTACATTATAGGTTATATATTGGATTTCTTCCATCTTACTCTTTTTCTACCGTCTCCTTCCTCCTCCTTTCCTTCTTCTTTCTTATTCCTATGGAGCGTTTTTATCCCTCTACCCTTTTCTCTCCCCTTTTCCCTCTCCCCCTCTCTCCATGCACCCCTCAATCTACTCCCTCTCCCTCCCTTCCCTCCTCCCCCCTCCCCTCTTTTTAGGCCTTCACTTTGCCTAACCGTCATCTGTGGAGGCAGTATCCACCTTTGACTTAATCCTCAGGGCTTTACTCCTCCCATGGACGGCCTCCCCTCCCTCCAAATCCCCCCCTTGACCTCCTCTCTACTTGTACTTTCTGAGAAAGGAAA